TTGGTGACGCCGAGAAGCTGGGGTTGTGCCCAGATTGGCAGCATTTGCTACCAACCACTTCAAAACTTTAACGAGAATGCTCTGATAATGGTAGGCAACATCCCGGGCGAAGTTCATCTGCGGTACATCGTCCTCGCACGACACACGCGAGAACAGCGACCCGATGGCAAACGCGTGGACAAGTACATCTTGGCTGTCGCGGACTCGGCTGTTAACTTTCGGAACAGACAAGCTGAAGGAGAGCAGGAAAACGTGAAGTGGGTGCTGGAAGGGGGACTTTATATGACAATTACCGAAGTGAACGAGAATACGATTGACGTCGTGTTTGACCAGTGGTCTGAGTGCCTGAATGAGATGCACGGCCGAGAGCTCTACATCGACTGGATTCGATTTCCAGTACGAATCGAGCAGTACGTTTCTCCAGCAAGACTGCTGAGTTGGTAAGGGATTCTTGAATACATTTAGCTTGATGGGTTCTTCTTAAGTATTGACTCTTGTCTTCAGTACAATTTATACCGGGGGGAATGTAGGGAAGCTAGATACTGGGAGACAATTCAGGGATTATTGTGAAGTCAGCTTGCTCACCAGCGTTGCGTGAGAACAAGTTGCCCAGACTGGCCACCTTATAACGTGTTCCTTTGGCAAACCCGGCAGCAACTTTATAATACGGCGGGGATACCCTCGTAAAGTCGAGTAGGCGGGAGTGAGTCCATGTATACAGTTCACTTGACTTGACTTTTGTAAGGAGTTCGGAAAACCAACTCATCATTTCGAGGGCGTAATCATCGTTTGGTCCGCCTTGTGGTGCCGGAGCGATCTTAGTTGCTCCGCCTGCCCCCCAAGTCGTGGACAAGTCTGGCCGTGCTCATTCTTCTCACGACGACAGCCCCTCCCACTGCTCCCACGTCCAGCCGGAAGACTGTGACCCGTGTCCACGTTTGGTGTTTGCGGTCATTCCGGCCATGAACAAGTAGTGCGTTGTTGGGCGTGTCCACCATGACGGAAGCGAAAGATGGCGGGCATCTGCTGCAGATCCCAACATGACTGAAGCCGCACTAGCGGGACCGACCGTCTCGCTCATGACTCGAAGAAGAGCGTCGGTACCAGCGAAACCGGCAGAAGCAGTTGCTTCAAGCTCGAACTCGGCGTCGGCGTCCGAGGCAAAACAACGGAGTAAGGGCAGCGGGAACACTGCGAACAGCGAGAATGTTAGTGAAAGTAGCAATGCAGCACATGGTGGCGAGGCAAAAGCAGGAGGCAGCACTCCAGCTATCCACCAGAATCATCCGGAGAGTTTATGTCGGTATTCGAACAAGCGCTGCTACAACAAGCGAGCGGTGAAGAATAACTGCGAGTTGCACAAGTTTTGCGATAAACATCGCGATTCTGCGAAT